GGACATAATGCGTATTTATAATAAACAATTCAAATTGATATATTCAATACATATTAAACAAAGATGAAAAAATAATGGTATTCATTGGATGTTCAGTTTAGATGAAAATGGTAAATGGATGGACTATTCTAATTGACTTCCCTAATTATTTAAATTATTTTCACAAACTTATTTTTATTTAATTTGATTACACACAAACAATTTGTAATAATTATTTTTTATATTCTCGCAACTTATAATATTATTTTTATAGCACCTATGAAGCATTTTAGAATAACCTGCAATACACGTTCAACTATGACTCGTGTTATTAAATACTTGGTAGCCTAGATTAGATTTTTAATTAAGAATTCTACGAACATACATAAGATTTTAAATACAGATCAGAAAGCAATTCTTGCCTAGTACTAGATCAAAGATTAGTCTTTCAATGGCAACTGAGGGTAATCAATTAATCAGAAAACAAGTTGTAGTAGCAGTTTTAGCCCAAAAAGTCTTAGGGCAACCTAAAATTTGAAAACATACAACAAATATTTTTCATCAAGGTTCTATTCATCCATTTTGCCACACCATTTTGGTGAGAAGTTCTAGGCATCGTCAAGTGTCTCAAGATGCATTCAACCCTACAGAAGCTATTGAATTCATCTGAACAAAACTTCAACCCATTATCTATGTGTAAACGTTTCACTTGCTTTCCAGTCTGTTTTTCTATCATTGTTTTCCATTCCTTGAAGGTCCCAAACACTTCACTCTTCTGTTTCAAGAAGAATATCCAAACTTTCTTGTAGAAATCATAAATCACTATCAACAAGTAATCAGCTCATCCTTTTGAAGGCACCATAGCCGATCCTCAAAGATCTGAATGGATATATTCAAGTGTTCCCTTCGTGTTGTGTCTTCCTTTAGAGAATCTGACATTTTTCTATTTTCCTTTATCTTACTAGTCTTCTATCCATCAAGAAGTCCCTTCCTACTTAACTCTGTCATACTATTCCTACTCATATTGATGTGATCCAAGGAAGGCAACAAACTATCAAGGGTTCGATGTATGTTGAAAAGAGGTTAAGGGAAAATTCGAGATCAAATAGAGTCAATAAAATCATGAAATCACTCGTTCAAGCTATGGAGTTCAAGAGGGTGAAGTTGACAAGCAAAAGACCAAGTTCTATGTTGGGCATGGGAGTGGAAACAAGTTAGAATGCTTTGGAATCAAGAACTCAAAACTTGTAGGCAATACTAACAACTATGTGATGGCATAGCTATATGAAAGGTGCGACCGCATGAACCTATACCGACCAAATGAGGGAGAAATGCTGGCCTATGCAACCGCATGAAATACACCTATGCGGCCGCATATTTGAACCTATGATGCTTTTTTCCAATTTTCGTGTAATTTTATATTTTAGTTAAAACTCTTATATGGTAGATTTTTGATATCTTTAAGACTTAAATACCGTTTTTAGCTAGATTTTATGGGTCCTCTATAAATGACTCATTCTATTCATTTTAAAACACACAATTATTGAGAAATCATTGCAAGGCAAATTTATTTTCTTCTCGTTCATCATTAAATTAATTTCGAACTTATCAAAAATTAAATTTTTATGGCATTCTACAAATTCAAAGTAAGGTTCATAAGTTTTGTGATCACTGGTCAAGATATTGTTAGCGATTGTCTTGGTTCTTGATTCAATAATTTATTGGATCGAACTTTTCAAACGTTAATTCTTGGCTTTCTTGGGTTGTTCTAATTTATCGTAGGTTCTGTAGCTACAATTGCTATGTGGGTTCACATCAGTTGGTATCAGAGCAAACTCTAAAAATCAAGGTTATATCATATTTTTTTTTTCTTCTTTTTTGTTTGAGTCTCTTGTTCTTCATGTTCTTTGAATCTCCAATCCGTAAAATACCAAAAAAAAAAAAAAAATTCAAAACTTGTTTGTTTTTTAATTTAGTATCCAAATCAGTTTATGTTTCATTTGCTGGTATCTAGTTGAATTTTCGAGCAAAAAAAAATTCAGAAAAGAAATTGCCATCGATCATTTTGAGTCAAAAAAATTCCAAATTCAAAAGTGTCCATCCAAAGAGAAAAAATACTTTCTTGAATTCGTCCTTTAACGTTTCATTCAAGTTCAAATTCCTACCTTCTTGAGTCATTATAGATTACTTTCTTACTCAATTCTTTGTTTGGACTCCACACGGGTTAAATTTTGACTAAGATCGAATTAATTCTTTGAAGCACTTGCAAGAAAGTAATGAGTAGAAAAATGCAGAGTGGTGAGACTAATAGAGAGAAAAATTCAAGTTGAGTGATACACGAGTGTACACACGTGATGCAAATATTGAACTAGATTTGGAATGTCTGACAGAGACGGTTCAATTTCAAGTGGGAAGA